TGCAACCGTGGCAACTGACCTAATGGGGTACCACCCGAGCACGCCTATTGTGTCACCGGAGAGGATCTGTCTTCCTTACCAACCAATTGTCAAGGTGGGTGTGGCTTACTAATCAGTGGAACCCCTCTCATCTAGACACCCATGGGACAGAAGAAGTGTCCATTTTAATGAGATGTCCTTTGATGCATGGTTCTTGGGGGGGGGGGGGTTTCAGAGAAACATCTCATTTCAGAGTCGTTAGTGAAGGATTCCCTGTAGTAGTGTGGTCTGTCGTAATTATTATGACATGGTTTTGTTTTGTTTCCCTGCAGATAGTACCATGGCAACGTTGTTTCCACTGCAGGCAGTACCATGGCAACCGCTTCCACTGCAGCAGTACCATGGCAACCGTTCATATAGTGACACTGGTCCTGGTGACCTTTCTCACTATGTTATTTGTCTGACCCATACAGTGAATAATAGGCACTGTTACTGGTACTTTGCCATGGAACTATAGCCCACATTGTTAAACATCAAGTCATAATGTGTCGTCATTCATTCTCGTGTGTTTATTATAATGGTGTATTTTTACAACGTGATCATGATACATTACATAATGTGACCATAGAAAATTTGCACCTATGGTAAAAGAAAGTCCAAAAAAATTAAATCTTTGAAAACTGTTAAACAGTGCTGCAGGAGGTGATATGGTAAAAATAAAAAAATACTGCGACTAACTGATTTGCTGGATCTAGACAAGACTAGTTTCAGTGAGCACAGTCGTTGCTTCATGTGTATGACGAGGGGACGCTGGAATGAGCTGACGAAGGTGGAGGGGCTTTATGAGATGACATCATCATTGGTAGGCCCCGAGGGGTGTGTCTTTGGGGAGGGACAGTGGGTGGGGTCTTTGTCTGGGGGGAGGAGGCTGAACTGGATCGGACATGGGAGTTCCTGATTGCATCGTACGGTCTGACAGTTGGTTCAGTCTCACCGAGGAAAGAGTACGAACCCTCACTCGAAACATACCATTTCCGCTGGGGGGCGGCCCCAGACAACTAACCGATTTGCTGGGAGGGGAGAAATCGAGATGGGAGTAGTCCTCGCTTGACGAGGAGACCCCTGTTGTTTGGTCTCTAGTCGATAGCTGTCCTACAGGACGAGATAGACCTCTGTCCTGAATGGTAACGCAGCTCACCGCCCCTCCCAGTTGAGCCGGGGAGTGATGAGAAGGAGGGGGACCCTCCGATAATCTCCTCTCGCCCGGGGGGGTGGGGTTTCGCTCCACCCCCCACAGGGGTTGGCCACACCCACATTGTTAAGACTTCTCGTGCTGGCTGTGGGGATCTGGTACGGTTGAGCAGCTGTCTTCACGTGGGCGCGTCGGGGTTCATGGGGAGGGACCCTGATCCCGGGGCAGCCGAGAGGGACACCCCGAGTCGTTGAAATTGTTTCCTGTTCCCTCGGAGTGATTCTGGGGGGACCATGAAGAGGGTGGCGTCGGTCGGGGAGAGTGCCTCGTCGTAGACCGGACTAACAGGTGGGCGGTGGTAGATATTGTCAAACGGGTCAGTGTCATCGTTAAAACGGTTGTCCTGTTGTCTGCTCATGCTCCCGACGAGATCCTATGACTGCCATGATCAGTCTGAAGACAGGGTGGATCTCTGTCTGACTGGTAACTCATCATAGTGTTTACTTCATTGGATTTGCCATCCCTGCGAAGAGAAAACAGAAAAAGCAGTTATACGACAGGCTCACCTTTCTCCACATGTAGGTATCTACATAGCGTACTTAGTGCACATAATTAGCATGAATTAATCCATGGTTGGTAAGCCAGCTTTGTGGATATAGAGGCAATTATTTTTTAGGAAAGGAAAAGAAATTACGATGTGCCTTGATAATATTTTTCCTCAATGACAATGACGAGTCCTTTACGGCTGAACTCACGATATTTTAAGATTCCCTCCTTTGCAGCATCGGAAAATGCAGATGAGGATGAAAACAATAACTGCTATCACCAACAGCACTACACCCACTGACACGGCTATCATCAGTATCATCCCTCATGTCCTTTTGTCCCTCGCTCTCTGGCTCCAAACACTCTTCCTCCGCGTACGACTCTATTTGAAGCCCACACTGAGAGTCTACATAGAATCTGTTGTCTTCCACCGTCACTAGAGGTCGCGACCTCTGCCAGCGAGACAGAGCACACGTCACCATTTCCGTCTTGGAGGCGGAGCCTGTCTCTATGGTTCCCCTGAAGACTGCCCCGCCTTCTATGACATCGCTGCATTCAAGACTAACAACAGTGAGCGTTTCCTTGGTGACGCAGTCTTCCTGGTGGCACTGCGTTGACATGAGGCGGAAGAGAAAGTTTTGAAATTCTTCGGTGATGGCCGATTTCCTGTCCTGATTCCACGTCATGCAGCCGGACGTCGCCACGCGGAGCTGGAACAGGACCATGTCCTCTGACACACTCTCGCAGTCTCCCACTGGTGCCGTAGTAGCGGGGTCACCTTGTGACAGCTCCACCAACTGGGAATCAACCAGCCCTTCTTCCCCGGTTCTCCTCACCTCACATTTGTATGTACCGACGTTGGCTACGCTGAACTGCGAGGAGAATACCAGTTGCGAAAATGGCTATTCCTCCGACGACCGTCGTGTTGGTGTCGATTCCGCGAGGAAGACTTCCAGAGTTTTTGCTCCATTTCACGTCGGGCGGAGACGGGGAGGCAAAGGCGGTACAGGTGAGGGCGGGGCCTGTGAAACCGAGGGGAACGTCGTAGGTGATGGAGGACGATCCGTTGTGATGCCGGGGGCTGGGAATATGGTGTCCAGAACTGGATCGTCTGAGGAGAGAGAGGCAAAAGGGGGGAAGAAATCACCTACTGAGCACATGGATATTTCAATACCTCATATCCCAATAATATCATGTAGCCATACTTGCATTTCAAGAGGCAGTTACTTTCTCTTTGCCAAAACGACATATTCATTCAGTGTTTCTAGCATGAAACTAATGGCGGATACAAAAGAATTTTTGGCGAGCGGAAGCGATCCTATAAGTGTGACCCAGTTTCATGTGAATGAGCAAATGGATGGTGTATTGTCGTGAACAGTAATACATGTCCAGTATAGCTACTCACGAAGGACTGTGAGGTTGACAGTAGCAGAGCTGAGTCTCCCCGTGGCTGGCTCTCTCACCAGACAGACGTAGGTCCCGGTGTCTGTGTACTCTAGCCTGTGGGTCCAGGTCAGCACACTACCACTACCAGTGGAGTCCACCATCGTCACACTGGGAACTGAACCTCCTCCTGACAGCTGGACGAGAGAGAATATGTACCTCAGGGCCACTGCTAACTCAGAGACGTAAATTGAGTTGGGGTTAGCTGAACATACTTTCTCAGGGCCAAATTTATATTTTACTGCAGTGTTTCAAGGTGCATGCGTGCACAAAGCCAAGCGGCTGTATTGCTGTTTTTGTTTTATGTTGTAGACAGCATTGGGAATAAGTGCCCCTCCCCCCATTTGTCATCTCTCCCTCCCTATATATATATATATATATATATATATATCCTGCCAAGTAAGCTGGTGTCACCGACTGAACCATTGACCAGACATCTGAAGGAAAGGGGATCCCCGTCGCCATGGTAAAACGACACCTTGTGGGTGGGGCTGATGACATCATCATATTCGATCAGTGCCACAAGTCGCTCTGAGGGGGTCGGAGAATATAAAATTGGTTCCCCAGAAACTGAGAGGGTGCCATAATCACTCACCGAGGACTGTGAGGTCAAAGGTTGCCTGTGCTGCCGAGAATGGACTGGAGACAGCGCAGGTATACACACCGGAATGGACTAGAGTCGCTGTTGCTATGGTGAGCTGGCTTCCATCGGCAACAACATCACCATTCTCAGCAATCCACTCTGTGAGGTCATACATTACATCATGTGATGGACTCTACTCTCAGAACACATGATTTGAGCAGAATGTGTCCTGACTACATACAGTTAGTTGTCCTGATTTCTATTGTACAATGATAGTGAAACTTGTGAGAGAACTTAGAAATCGGTAGAAATTATTTGCCTGCCAATTTGCCAGTCAATGATAAAGTGTCTATTTGTGTAACTGACGGGTGTCCAGAGGTCCAGTTCCATCAGTAGCACACACCACATCCACAGAGTCCCCTACTTCCACAGTCCGTCGTGACGGAGACACCCTCGCCGAGGGGAGCACTAATTGGAGAACATTTCACTTTCAAATTGACTAGAGGGGAAACTCCTCTCATTAGCTCACCTGGATACTTCAGTTCAACTGAGGCATTGGCGACGCTGTCGTCACTGTTGGTTACCACTGGCAACGTAAATACCAATATCCTCGTCTCGCAAACTGTCAATTCCAGTGTTGCCAGTGCATTATCAGAGACAGTGGCCGTGTATCGACTGTCCGACTCCGGATCCAGCTGTGTCCCATTCCGGTACCAGATTACGGAGGTGACATCATTCACAGAGTGAATGTGGGCGGGGATGGTTACCATGGATCCTTTGAGAGCGAATATTACTTCATCTGAGATAAAGACCGACAGAACAGCTGGAAACGAGACAAAAACATGCAGCGTTATAGTGACCCACGCAATTAATAGTCAATCTATAGTTATCCCTGGTTTGTATGCACACAGCCAGTGGGTTTGAATTTTATTTCTCCTAATTTTAACATTTTCATGTACTTATGTATGACTGTACACGCACCCCATAGAGCACACACCACATAGAAAAAACAATATTGTTCCCAATGAATTTTCCAACTAGCTACAGAGACATGTACAAAGCCACATTCGCCAGCACCATACCATCGGTAGTTATGAGAATGGTCTTCTCCAGACCCGCGACAAGATCAGACGAACATGTGTATCGGGCGGGAGTGACGAAATTCGGGATGGAAAGGGTTAAAACGTTCCGGGATGGGTCGTACGAGGTGAAGACGGTCTGATTAGGGGCGTGGTCCAGACAAGATTCCCGGAGCCGAAACACTGGATTGTTAGCGAAGTTCCAAACGATGCCAACACCACGTTGCTGGTGAGGTCTTCACTTTCTATCCGGATCATGGCTGGTGATGAGAGAGAGGGGCAGTAGAGAGAGAGTGGTAAATAATAATACACATCAACTAGTGTGTACAATAGGACTTTGTTTGTCCCGCTGAAAATGGTCCTATACAGTTGGAGTATGGAATGGTAACATCTTGTCTCGCTGCACCTATCCCTATCTCACCCAAATTTTGCTGTCCCCCCTAAATAAGGGTGTCAACGATTTCGCATTTTTTTGTAGGCACATGAGCGGAAAAAGAGATGACCCAACTATCCCTAATGCTTTGACTAAAGTTGGAGTATGGAATGGTAACATCTTGTCTCGCTGCACCTATCCCTATCTCACCCAAATTTGGCTGTGCCCCCTAAATAAGGGTTGTCAACGATTTCGCATTTTTTGTAGGCACATGAGCGGAAAAAGAGATGACCCAACTATCCCTAATGCTTTGACTAAAGTTGGAGTATGGAATGGTAACATCTTGTCTCGCTGCACCTATCCCTATCTCACCCAAATTTTGCTGTCCCTCCTATATAAGGGTGTCAACTATTTCGCATTTTTTTGTAGGCACATGAGCGGAAAAAGAGATGACCCAACTATCCCTAATGCTTTGACTAAAGTTGGAGTATGGAATGGTAACATCTTGTCTCGCTGCACCTATCCCTATCTCACCCAAATTTTGCTGTCCCTCCTAAATAAGGGTGTCAACTATTTCGCATTTTTTTGTAGGCACATGAGCGGAAAAAGAGATGACCCAACTATCCCTAATGCTTTGACTAAAGTTGGAGTATGGAATGGTAACATCTTGTCTCGCTGCACCTATCCCTATCTCACCCAATTTGCTGTCCCCCCTATATAAGGGTGTCAACTATTTCGCATTTTTTTGTAGGCACATGAGCGGAAAAAGAGATGACCCAACTATCCCTAATGCTTTGACTAAAGTTGGAGTATGGAATGGTAACATCTTGTCTCGCTGCACCTATCCCTATCTCACCCAAATTTTGCTGTCCCCCTAATAAGGGTGTCAACTATTTCGCATTTTTTGTAGGCACATGAGCGGAAAAAGAGATGACCCAACTATCCCTAATGCTTTGACTAAAGTTGGAGTATGGAATGGTAACATCTTGTCTCGCTGCACCTATCCCTATCTCACCCAAATTTTGCTATTGTACTACCACATATCGAACATTTCGCAGAATAAGATAATGTTGGCAGATCTCTTTTCAAAATCAGTGAAGTTTTTTCTCTCGTGAGCTTCCATTTATATGTAGGTGTCCCGAGTTAAGTGTTCATTACGTATGTAAGTATTGACTTACGGTTAATGTTGAGAGTGGATTCAGTGGTGTCAGTGTGACTGATGGTTGTCAGGGTGTTGTAGGCCGAACAGCTGTACCTCCCTCTGTCGTCGTACCGAGATTCCAGTGATGGTCAGTGTGCTCGTCACTGTCACCGTGCCATCCTGTGTGTGATGGAGCAATACACCACTAGAGGGCGGGCTCCTTTGGAATTGGGAATGTTGTAGGGGGTGTGGCAGTATACAAGGGCTAAATTTAGAAGATGTTACCAAGAATAGTAACATATATTCTTGCACTGGGTCCTATTGTTTAGTTCATCTTTATATAGTTGTAAACTTACCTCATTAGTGTATGGGCTGTTGGTCTGAAAGTCAGAGTTGATAGGCAGCATGCTGCCCTCTCTGGACCAGGTTATGGTGAGTGGAGGAGAGCCACGTGCCTCACAGACCAGTTGTGTCTCCTCCCATTCGTCTACTGTCAGTTCAGATGGAGGTGGACCGGTGATGTTGGATGGAACTGAGGAGGGGGGAGGGAGTCAGACAATTTGCGTTTTTGTATCAAATCAGCATCGTGTGAAAATCAATATCCATTGTTCAGAGGCATCCCTTAATCAGAGGTAATGTGATACACCAGTATTAGGCTGGCAGAAACAATTGTCCTTTCTAGAGAGGTGTCCTTTATTCAAGGGTCCCTTGAGTTGTTTTGTAGCAAAACATTGGATCCATCAAACTACAAGAGTATATACACATCAGATGCTCACCAAGGACACTGAGAAAGATGAGGGTGTGTCCTCTGAAATTGAGTCCCTCCCGTGACTGGACTGTCACGTTATAAGTCCCGGATTCCTCCAGAGATGCATCACTGATAACCAGATTGCTCGGTAGCGCATTCACCTCCTCCCCCGGTGCAGGGTATTCTAACACTGTGTCTCCACTTGGGTCTTTCCAGTGGACATAAGTCAGTAGACCGTTGGTAGTGGAGATGAATGTGGAGAGGGTTACAGTGTCCCCAGAGAATGCCTCAACGCTACTTCTACTGGTATAACCCGGCACCTCTGATATGGGAGGAGAGAGGGAGGAGAGGGAGGAGAGAGGAGTGAGAGAGGGAGGAGAGAGGGAGGAGAGAGGGAGACAAAGAAATGAACACTGCATTACTGAATATCAAAGCGCATATCATGCTTCAAGCCTCTGAGATAACTACAATTTTGACATCCAGCCTACCATAATTAGATAACTAACCATCAGTAATATTGAGATACTCCATTGCTCCGCCAGAAGCCATGCAGGCATACAGACCCAGATGGTTACTGCTCGTTGAGGTGAATCTGATCCTGGTTCCTCCGGGCACATTCATATTTTCTACAGACCCTCCAGGATCCACGCGTAGCCACGTAGTCCCGAGGCTACTGTGGAAGCAGTCGAACCAGTAAAACTGGTGGACCGAGTTGGCCCCGCCCACTAGGACCGTGGCCACGCCCCAGACTTGGAAGGAGCATTCCTCAATGTCTGAATTATCAATCAGTCGAGTTCTTGTCTGTCTGATGGCGAAACTGTTCCCCGTGTAGTTCAGAGGGGCATAGGAGGCACATGCAGCTGTGTGTGAGAGAGAAAGATGGAGTTCACGCGTGAAGCAACGAAGAACAGGATTGCAGTGGATCTCCTCTATGGGGACACCCGTGGGACAGAAGAAAGTGTCCATATTCCTTATATTAGGGGTTATATTGTATGTAGCGACTGTTGTTGGGGGAAATATAATGTAGAGAGGTGTCCTCAATACAAGAGGGGAGGGGTTTAGGTTTCAACAGAGACGAGTTTCTTCATATGTTGTTTACACAAACAAATAGAGAGTTGTGATGGCTATATTTGCCAGCACTCCCTCGGACACGGTCCATGGGTCAACAGTGAATGCTGACGCTCCAACGATATTCATAGGACGAGGTCGTTATTCATGTGCAAATTCTCAGAATGTTCCGAATAGCGCAGATGGGGATAATGAGCTTAGAGATTTGGGGGAGTGGCACTGTTTTACTTATAGAGTCAGGGGGAGGAGGGGGGAGGGGGGGGGCAAATATTGTATACATTGGGAGGGAGGAGGCTAGCTACTACTGGCTTTATAGGTATGATGTCATAGAGGGGTGTGGTAGGGTTCAGAGTACGCAATATGTGGACGCATTTCACAATGAAATTGGGCCAAAACGTGAAGTTTAGTACGAAAAAGGCACCCAGTTATAATACGTAGTTGTCTGTCATCATGACATTCCAAATGATTTTTAGGACACAGTGTAATTAGGGGTAGTAATGCCTTGGTTGGTTATGTATTGGAGTACATGTATATCGACTGCCAACCCTGAAAGCTGAAGATAGACATTGCAGCTGGCAAGAAAGAGTTGGCTTGGGTTCACCATGGATACCTGGGGTTTACATGTTCTGGTGAAGAGTTGTACTTTATGTAGGGTCTACAAGCTAAACATTGTAGGATAATGAAACTGCTGCGAAATTAGCTCATTCAGCATTGTGCCCCTACTATAGAAGTTCCAATTAGCATTACATCATGCATGACATTATAGCCCTGAATATCATTGTTGTTTTTGCTAATTTAACACTTCTTGTGCGTGTTCCTACCCTATCTAAACCACACACCCTAGCCCTGGTCTGCTGTTCCAAAAACTTTCCATTCTTCAAACACATACCTACCAACCATCCAGCTTTTTGCTGAAATCACCAAATCCCTCTTTTTTGTGCTAACCTGTGATGCATTATGCCCATACATTTTGAATGGACATGCAGCATTTTCAAGCAAAACTACTCCAAATCAAGCAAATTTGACACATTTCTCAAGCACAGCAGGTTGGTATATAGGTAGGTATGATTAATTTTCGTAGGGGAGGAGACGCCCTAATTTCATTAACACGTGTTGGCGACTAACCAGACGGGCGGGCTCCCTAATTTCCCAAGTGGTTCTAGAGGCTGGGACATCTCCTGCCCGCCAAGCTACGCTACGTTGCTGGGACCGAGCTGGTCACGTACGCTGAACTGCCCACGCACCCTTACTGCAGCGACATGGCTTCTGCAGCTGACCAGCAGCTTTTACAACTCAACCGCCCTTTTTTCAGCTGCACACACTGCGCTGCATGCTGCATGCCGGCGGCTGTACTGCGCCACTATAATGTAGCTGCGTTCCTACCTACGCCTCTCTGCGCAACACATTTTCACGCCTGTGCAGTACTATAGGTAAACGATTTCCCTCCGTCACGCTCGGTAGACACTGCAAAACCGCCCTCCATGGTTGACCGCCCACCAGCCGCTCACACGTACATACCATCGACCGGCTCCGGCTGCAGCGATGCGTAGAGAAGAACCAACAAGGCGTGCAGAGCAGCTGATCGGCGAAACTTGCAGCCCCAAGCCATTCCCATTGTTCGTCCACTCGCAGGTCTTGGAGTAAATATTTCCAAACTTGGTATATAGCTATACGTCGTCCGAGAATTGGTCTGCTCCTGTTGGTGGCGTCAGCTAGCTAAAGACAGTTCAATCATGGACGACGAGAACTGAACAGCGTTGAATAAAGGATCGTTTTATTGTGTACACGTACGTACAGATTGACAGCATACGCGAGATCAAGTGTGCATGCGCAGCAAAGAGGCGGGGCTGCTTAACAAAAAGACAACATAATTGAGAAATGACAATCACTATCTTTTAGCTCTCTCTGCTCTCTCTTTCAGACTGTTCTCTCGGATGCGTTTGGCCTCAGCCACACCCTCGTCCCTCCGCCTCTTGTTTATGGGGTTGCGAGGGTCGTAGATGTCAAACGTATCCTCGTTCTGAATGTTGGCGTCCTTGGCAACCATCACTGTCTTCTCGTCAGCAAATTCCAGCCTGTGTTTCAACCTTGGAGAGAGAGAGAGTGTGTGTGTGTGTGGGAGGAGACAGTGGGAGGAGACAGTCTGTTATTAAAGGTTTTGAGAACGGTGTGAGCAATGCCAAAAACAACTTCTTTGAAAGTGAATAGGTTTGGCAGGGAACAAACCTACTGCCAGCCAGTTAAAGAAACTTGTAAACAACGTCGGTTTAAAAACAAATGGAGACGCTACTCCTTGAAAGTAAGAGCAAACCATATATAGCCATAACAACCAAGTAAAATGCAACACACAATGAAACCTCAGAATAAAGAACCTCTCTACAAAGGTACACGTGGTTCTGCCCCAGACTAATACCTCAGAATAAAGAACCTCTCTACAAAGGTACACGTGGTTCTGCCCCAGACTAATGCCTCTGGAAAAAGAACTCCTTTAAACAACAAACACTTTCAATGCCATCAGAGGTTTCCCAGTAGATGCAGCAGTACACACATTATGTGGGTAAAAAGCTGACTAAAAGCAATAGCCCACTCAATCAACATTGCGTTCTATATCCACGGCCCACGCACCCCATCTCAGTGATAAAACAGAGTTGATGGTGAGACGAGGGATTGGTTTGGCAGGGGAGGCCATGAACCACATGCCATTGGCTATTCCAACACACCCCAAGCAAACATTTTCAGAGCATTCGTGAATGGCATTGATGGGATAAACTGCTTTGAAGTGACCTCGGTGCATTTAGACACTCGATCAGTATCTAACACAGTTACAGATAGATGTACACATTACGAAACATAGGTATTACATAAGCATTATCTCTTAGTGATGACACAGCTAGTATAGCGCTCTTTGAGTCTACAACTCGAGCAAGCATTGTCTTGGTTTCAGGTAGCTAGCCAAGGCAGGTGCCCTGGAAACTACATGTGCAGTACAGCGACAAAAACCACAGTCATCCCGGCACATCTGGCCGGGCTGTGGGTACCACCAGTCACACACAACCAGACAAACAGACTGACATATCTGCTCTCGGAGGTATCGTCTTTCAAACGGAGTAAACCAGATATATTGAGGAAGGCAAAATTGGTCACAGCAGATCACTGCTGTATGTTCTCACTGAACCCACACGTCATCAACCAGTCACTGGATAACCAACAACCAGTTTTCAGGGATCTGAGGAGATATTTTGGCTGGAGAGCCTGTGTATATAGCTTCAGCGTTTGTGGAAACTTGCTGAGGATGGTGATAACCACCACACAACATTTCCTCCGGGGAGAGCGAGATGGGAGAAGGATGTTCAATGGAGGAAAAGGTTGTGTGTAACTCTTCACCTTCCAAACAAGTTTCAGAAGCACTGTATTCTGCAATTTTCGAAACTCCCTCCAAAGAACCAAGAGAGGTATGAACATTGCATAAACCTGACAGCAGAGAATGGATGGAACCAGTGTGCCTGTGTGGTGTTCTATGCACCTGGACAAGTTTCAAGTCAGTGAAGCCAATTCAAAGGTCCGCCTGCCACCCTTCCTACATACATTAACAGAGTAGCTTGTTAGGAAACAGTTGAGGAGACATGATGACAGTACTAGTGTCTGCAACTGTTTCGGTATTAAGTTGCATAAAGTCACGGATCATTGAGTTTGCCTATTGCCACTGGCATCCCAGACCAAACATCACACAATTACACAGTCTATTGAGCTGGTCGATCACGTGTGACGGTGAAGCCTTTATCATCAGCTCACACCGTCAAGGAGTGAGTGGCTTTACAGTGTAAAACTTTGACTAGTCCTTTTCTAAAACATGTCTCTTCTAGGTCTAATTAAGGTGGAACCCCTCTAATCCAGGCACTATTGGGACAGAATTAGGTGCCCATTTTAGGGAGGTGTCCTTATTTCAGGGTTTAAGAGGTGCATGCAAGAACTGTTCTCGGAGTAAGAAAATGAGAGGTATTGTCATTTCAGATAGTTTCCTTAGTTCCACTGAAACGGTGAGGTGAATGTTCAGTTACTCAGAAAAAGGAGGGGAAATGAGGTTTAGAGTTACCCTATCGAGTTCATGTAGCTGCTTCAATCCGACGGCTGCACGTTCACCGTACCATTCGACTACTACGAGACATTCTCCTCATATCTCCAGTCGCCAGCTGGGGCTCAGGGGGGAAAATGAGGTCGAAGGTACAATGAGTGCGCAATTCTCGACGTAGTGATCTGGTGACTAACAAATTCCTCCACTCGTGTTATCAACTCCCTCGTTGTAGCTCTCAAACCACAAATGTGTCAAATATGACAGCATGTGAAACACGACCCCGACCACTAAAGAGTTCGGTAATTGGACAGTGCATGTCGGATGACATGGTTTTGCGAAATAAAGGTCGCTGACATTATTCCAATCTCCAGATATGGTAATTTTGGGAAAGCGTGTGACTTGTCGACATCCTCCAGGCCGTATTTGCCGTTGATCACACAGCGTTAGCACACACACACTTTAGACAACACACACACACACCCTTCGCAAGTGAAGAACATGTACTTGGTCCATGTAAAAGTTCATGTGTTCATGGATTCCTTTTGCCGTTGTAGCAAATCAGATGTGGGAAAACAAGACTCCATTTGCTGCTAAACTTTCGTCATTTGAATGCTAAAGTCATCTGGAGGAAACTACCTTCACGTGGTAACATTCACCCTTGAAGAGAGACTATATAAAGCTAATTCGCCGAAGCCATGTATATACCTCCCTCTTTCCATTCTCGCATCTTTCCCCTCTCCCTTCTCCCTCTCTCCTTTCCTCGCCACAGCCAGCCCTGAATCATCCCCATTCTCTCTCTATCTCCAATCCTCCAGAGACATGACCTAACAGGATAAGACGAGTGGCATCCACAGCCACTACAATTCGGAATGTTCATAAACTGCCTCCCACACTACGACCCACTCTCCAGTAAACACCGGTGGAATGAAGTCTAGTGACATTCTTCATAGAGATCTCTGCAAACACTCATAGTCTATATTACTACTCCGACTTTTACATCAAGCGCATTTTCTGGCATCCCAGAGTGTTAAATGGCCACCAAATGCGCTATTTACACAGTTGGGTGGCTTGAAAACATACTGGTGGTTAATTTAGGTATCCCATAGCGATGGTTACCAATATAGCCGGAGATGTTCGAGGAGTAAACTATTCGTGTATCGGTAATATACACTTTAACACTGCCCACAAACATTCGCGAAAAAACTTTCTTGGGTGGGTCATTAACTACGCTCACGAAATGCTTATCCCCAAAAATGGTAGCTCTGTTCAGAGTGTTAAATGGCCACTATTAACGTGCTATTTACATAGTTAATTGGCTGAAAGGGACACATTATATATACAGATGCAAATGTACATATAATTATACATCCCATTGTGACTTTGTTACATCTCTGTAATTAGAGGACATGCTGGACTAGAATCTATACACTTGTAAATTACCACAAATAAAAAAAAGAGGGAGGTGTCCTATATTTAAGAGTTGTACCATTCCACTGTACCACAATACTAAAGAAAGGGAAACTTAAAACCGCAACCACGTTGTAACGAGAGAGGTTAAACAGGTTGGGGAGTGGCCCCCCAGAATTCTCCTGAGTCTGCTGTTGCTAATTCGCCTTGGGAATAGGGCTAAACTCGTCCCTAGTCTGTTGTAAACTAACTAACGTTTGAAACTTGCTAAATGCGCAGGTACGGCAGACGCTCATGACGAAACCGTGGCAATTATGACAACATTGTATTCCGAGTGCAGACTGGTGATTTGATTCTACACCAACTGCTGCTGTCCGCGTGTCTCCTCAGTGAGCGTACAAACATGTTTACCAGATTATGAACAGTGAGTTGTGAGCCTGAGTTCTGTTTGCCCCCCCCCCCCCAGCCCCCAAACAAAAATATTGGTCCTACTAAAATTTTAAGCCCAAATACCCCCAAATACGCCCATTCAGCAGAGGAATTTGGTTTTCTTTTGTGTCTAAATACTTGACAGGGACATTCAGGAGATAATCCTACCAGTCAATGTCTCCCTCTTCCTTTGCCTTCTCTTCTCTCTCCCTCTCCTCCCTCCTCCTCTCTCCCCTCCCTCCTCCTCTCTCCCCTCTCTGAGTCGGGCAGTGAACAGCTTCATCTTGAACCTTTCAAGTAGCTCCATCGTCTGTCAGGAGAGGAGAGAGAGAGAGAGAGAGAGACAGAGAGACTCCTAGTAGCTCTACCAGAACTGCGAGCAAGCAAGCAAGATCTGACAAGTTTCTGCTGTTTTACACATGAGGTAAATTAGATTATTCCGACAGTTGAACCCCAGGATTTCCATCGCTGATCTCCTGTACTACTATCATTAATACCTGTTGCTGTCTGTTATCTCCTTTCTCCAAGACACGTTTCTTCCGATATGCTTCTTGTTCCTCCCTCAGTTCCCTCACTGGAGCCGGGACTCCTGACAACACATGTAGCATCATGGGGGGGGAGAGAGAGAGTGTGTGTGTGTAGGGGAGAGTGGGCGAATTTGGAACGCTGACTATAATACCTTAGAGCTGAACCCAATGACAATGCAACACATTCAGCAATCAATTACACCACACACACACACCACTCTCGTGTGTGTATATATGTTTGTACATAGAAAAAACAGCTGAGCTCAAGTTACTGCACACGCAATATTTACTAGTTGCTGCTCTACGTTGCACATTTGACCTTCAACTAGTGTAGCAAAATTCACCAAACACTGTATGTTGGTAATGGCCTCGGTAATGGACACTGCAAGTGCACAGAATTTGCATTTCACTCGGCCAAAGTATAGCACCGTGGTTTACAAGTGCCTTACTAACATATCCACCCCTTTTTCCACCTACACATCGTACGCTACAGAGTATACACTATCCACCGCATAACGTGTGGTTTGTAGAATCTGACCGGCGAATTAGATGGCAGCTACGATTATATCCACACCTACGCACACATGCAAATGTATGACCCACACAATAGACCCTTAGACATATTCTACCAAGCAAAGGTTATGAATACCATTACAAAGACTACACCAGGAGTGTGTGTTGCATACCTTTCCACTTGTCTTCCTCTTGCTCAAGTTTCACTTTCTGTTCGAGTCTCTTTCTCTTTGCGTTCTGGCGAAGTTCGTTTTTCAGAGCTTCGGATTCCTTCTGTAGTTGTTCCCTGGAAGTATAATAATGAGAGGGGAGAGAGGGGAGAGAGGAGAAAGAGAGTGAGAGCAGGTGCAGCGTGCACAAGGCTGAAGTTACGGAATGAGGTGAAGTGAATGAATAACGTTGCCAGTCATGAGAGACCGTGTGGGATGAGGCCGGGGAATGATAACTGTAGCAGGTTATGAGACGCTGTCTACACCAGACACCACGCACACAGGCCCACACACATACGTGCTCTCATGTACCTCTACATCTCCAGACAGACACCTGTACTGCACTCTATTCTAGCACTTTCATTGACTAGATTTCCTTCTGTTCTGTTATATAGTTCTCTTGTGCCAGATAAAAAAACTAACTTTCTTTTCCTCTTGCGAGTGTCTTCGTCTTCCCAGAGCTCCTCCATGAGCTCCAGTCTCTTCTCCCTCGCCCTCGTGTACTCCTCCCACTCCTTGTCAGCCTCTTCCCCTTCCCCTCCCTCCCCTCCTCCCTCCTCCTCCTCTTCCTACACTCACACACACACACACACACAGACACAAAATTAGCGGTGTTCCACAGTAGAAGTGCAAACACTCAACTCACCATCCCTTCCTCTTTACTCCCATCCCTGCATAATGTTACATCACATATTACATCATCATTACATCATCTTGGCAACGGCTCACCCTAGCGATGAGACAGCTGGGTCGACAGCTGGCTGAGAGCTCAGTCTCGTGTCCTCTTTGAGCACATCGTGACTGCTGCGAATCTTCAGCTCCTACTCTGACAGAGATGACAGACGTTGGTTTGCAAATGGTGTGGGTACTACTTCACCTTGCTGGATTGGTTTGCCTCCTCCTCTTCCTCTTCCGCTTCTTCCCCGAACGACAGGAGACTAAAATTTCTGACACAAACAACAAACAAACAAACAAGCAACATACACACAAACACGAATGAAAAAAGCTAAAGAGGAGAAGAGCTGGAGGGAAATGGCTTGTACTTGGTGGCTCTAGATTGGCTCTTGATATCCTCAGTCTTTCTCTCCAGAGAGCCTCCGGAGCCGCCTCGGGGAACAATGTCGTCAAACGGGTTCTGCAGGACTTCGGTACGGGTTATGTGAGGTACGGGGTTGAGAGGTCGGTCCTCCTTATCAGTGGGGATCTCGTTGAACTGTACGAGATTGTAGAGAGTGTCGCCTGTCACCTGTAGAGGTGTGTGTGTGTGTGTGTGTGTGAGGCGGGAGTACACCTACACACACTGCATGGCGGAAACTTTCGACAGACAATATTTATGAATCAGAAAGAACTTGAGTGTTTGATAAGCACTTGCTCTGTTTACATCCCCTGGTTCATAAGATAATTGTTGAACGAATACTTTCCTCCCAAGTTGGGACAATAAGTGCAGATGTGCATACATATAACAGCCAGGGAGGAAAGGAGGGAAAGTGAGACAAGGAAGAGAGAGACGCACTTTCCCAAAGAGTGTGTGTTTCTTGGTCAGTTCGTCGGCCCGTCCGAGGGTGATGAAGAACTGCGAGCCGTTGTCATTGGCGCCTGAGCTGGCACAGCCCACGAGGCCTCTCCGGACAAACTTGAGTCGAGTGTGAAACTCATCCTGGTGGAGGTCAGTAGAGGACAGACATCTATATACTCTCACACTCTCAACTACTGAATGTATACTAACCTTGAACGTGTGGCCTATTGCTCTCTCCACTGCAGTACATATTAATGTTGTTACATGTGTGTAAATTAAAAACCAGGATCAATTCTCTCATTTTTCAACATTCACCGAAAATTCGTAAAGTTGCACTTCGACACTCCTGAATCATGCTGGGTGCCATGGAAATTAAATATTCACATGTATATACCTTCTCCAGTGCCTGTGGGGTCTCCTCCCTGAGTTATGAAGTCTACTCAAGAATAAAACACTCCATTATATCCAAGTCTTGAACAATATAATAGTCCTATGTTGTACCTTGGACAATTCTGTGGAAGATGATTTCATTGTAGTAGCCCTCCATGCAGAGCTGGACAAAGTTCCTGCACGCCAGAGGAGCCTCTTTGCTCCACAGCTCGATGTCCAGGTCACCCAGTGTCGTCTTTACCAGGACCTGTGCAAAGATCATCGGGTGGGCTTCAATTAGGATAACAACAAAGAGTATCTACGTATACACAAACAGACACTTATGGTAGTCCTGCGTAATAAGACCACGTTATACGTACCTTTCCATGTGTCGGAGGCTCCTTGTTGTAAATATAGCTCATGTCTCTAGCTTTTCGACGCGTTCTCTAGAAGTAGGCGATTCCACGCGACTCAGCGAGCAAATTTGCGCATGCGTAAATGGCAATTTTACACATGCGCATAAAAAGTCATCATTGATTGAGCAGCAATAAAAAAAATTTGTGATTGGGGTGTCCGGTGATTATCCGGTGATTAGTGGTTCATATCCTGAAACTGAAAGTGCTGTGGAGGGAAAAGATTGATAAAACTGCAACCCCGAGGGCAGGACGTAGTGTTTCACCTGGCAAAATCAGGAGATCTGCTAATGGCATAGTGAAAATCTTCAGTGTTGAGTCCGTCAGCGTCCTTCTTGTTGACTTCGATCAGCACCTACAGCCACAATCAATCAACCTAGCTGGCAGTCTTGGAGAGCACACACAGTCTAACCTCATCCACTACTTTCTTTTTAACGCTCTCATTCAGAGGCTCATCTGTAATCATGTCCAGCATGACGTACATGTCCTCTCGAGATATCAGTCCATCCTGATCAATATCTATATTATACCAACAGAAACATACATACATGCTATATGCCATGAGGGAGAAAGTATTGTAATTCAAATGTAGATCTCACTGGGAGACCTTTGGCAAATGAGTGTCTTACTGCATATAACATACAACAGTCCCTTCAAGAATGAGGCTTTCGGTTTTATTTTCTCCTTCAAGACTTTTCTGTTTTTGGATCTTCTTACCAAATATCTGGAATGCATGTGCCGTTTTCTTTTCCCTGGAATTCTGCAGAGAAAATGATAATAGGTTAGATGGGATGGATGCTGAAACAACATTATATCACATTCTTTACGGTGTATTAGGCATAATATCTTCTTGAATTTCATTTCCGTATTCCAGATATGATGAGGTATTTAATTCCGTGTAAGGAGATGAGGATGATGTAAGGGGCATATTCCACAATGTAAGGCAACAGTAACAAAGGCTTCCTGTTGGCATAGATACTATACACAATGTAAGGATTGGAATCCGATTATGTATCTATGCCTGAAGGAAGCCTCAGTTAGCAGTGTATTGTATAATGCTTATATACAATGCGTCAACAGACACACCCTATAGCTAATGTCTTATGCTCAAGGGTTGTTTGTTATATACCTTGGGACTGAAAGTAGACACCATGTCCAGAAACTCTATGAACGTCATTTGTCCGGAGTCAGTGGCAATAAATATATCCAACATACGTTTAGCGAACGGGTTCTCCTGCATTATTACTTACACGGTGGTTAGCTACACAGAATGAGATCAGTTTATGTCAACCTTCAGCTGGGGCATGTGAGTGGCGATAAACTCGGCGGGGAGCGAGAACTCTGGGTTTATAAACCCGTCGGCGTCCAGGTAATCCCTGTCACCAGGGGCCGTAAAGCTCTCGTCCGGATTGCTGGATGCCGCCAGCCTGTACTGCTGATGCAGCTCCAGGAAACGGTCGAACGCACTGTAGAGGAATAGCAGGAGGTTGCTAGCCCCTCTGGCCGGAGATCTAGCTCGCTGAGACTGGAAACTTACTGGTAGATTTCTACTCGGTTGAAGGGAGTTGCAGCCTGCGAGGCAAACCGAATTTTAGAAAAGCCTATGCTTTTGTACATGTACATAATACCTCAAAGTCCTCAAGAACGGACTCCTCGAACCTGTTCTGTCGGCACCCCATCCTCGATTTCACAGCAGAACACTGACTTCGAGAGATGGACCTCACATAATAAGGAAGAGGGCGGAGCTCGTTTACGCAGGCGCGAATTCCTAGTTAACGCGCACCGTAAGTCTTGAGGCCAAAGAGTAAAGGATGGATTCAGACGTCAAAGACATTTTTGAGCTGGAGAAGGAGCGGACGGGCTCAAGAGGGGCTGCTTCCTTTATAAAGAGGCCATGGGAAGCGTGAAGGTGGGTATCAATGGCTAGCAATGTTCACTCGAGAGTGTGACATTCGTTTCAGGAACCAAAGAAGATGAAGAAGACTGAGTCGATGATGAAACGTCCGTCTGGCATGAACAGAGAGGTGTACGCTCTCCTCTACTCCGACAACAAGACCTCGTGAGTAATGCTGAACTCTTGCTGGCTTGCGAGCGAGACTACCCCATTCACTGACTATTGCTGATTCTCTACATGCAGGAATAGCACGTCCCTTATTCCAACTGACACTGGGTGTGGCTACAGGCAGCCGAGGGCCAGACTGGGCCGGAAACAGGTCCGACCATGGAAATGGATGCCGTTTCGCCAACCCAGCCAGATCTGTGAGGCACCAGGGGATCAGCTACATAAAGCTCTAATCTGGGCACCACTGGAACAGAAGAAAGTGTCCATATTAGTGAGGTGTCCTCGTTAAATGCACGCAAGAACTATTCTTGGAGAAAGAAAAGGGTGTCCTTATTAGATTCATCATTTCAGGGGTGTCCTTAGAGAGAGTTCCACTGTATATCTCTTTCGCTCTCTGTTTCCCACCATATGTTTCTATTAGGATAACCTGGTGCTCCACCATTGGAGGAGGGTGGCAGACGAAGGGAAAGAGTATCCATTTGCAAAGTTCAACAAAAGCCTCGATATCCCCACCTTCTCTGAGGAAGACTACACTGTGAGTAGATCATGTGACCAACACATGATCAATTCAGGCGGTCGTGTGACTCTCGCATGATTCAGTCAGTCTAATACATGGTATCATTTGACTCTCTTTCCTCAGAAATGTCTGACTGAGCCAGGTTGGTCAAAGGAGGAGACTGATCATCTGTTTGACCTGTGCAGGTAGGTATAATATACTCTTTCTCCTGCGTTGTTCTATGATCATTCGTGTTGTGTTTCGTGTTCAGAATGTTTGATTTACGGTTCATCATGGTCCAAGACAGATTTGACAAGGCCAAGTATCAGGTATGGGACGTGGCAGTCTCACGGTATCGGGGGAATGAGATGTGTTCACAGAGCAGGTCTGTGGAGGAACTCAAGGAGCGCTACTTCAGTGTCTGTAACAGACTGGTCAAGGCCAGGGGAGGAGAGGAGGGTGACATGATCGCCTTTGATGCTCCTCACGAAGTCAAGAGAAAGATGCAGGTAGACTTTCATTTCTGCAGTTTATTCCATTAATGCTATATACGTGGGGTTTTTTTTTGACACTGTTTGTTAGATGGAGCGACTGTTGGCTCGAACCAAGGAGCAAGTGGAGGAAGAGGAGATGCTCTGTGCAGAACTGAAAAAGATAGAGATGAGGAAGAAGGAGAGGGAGAAGAAACAGCAGGACCTCCAGAAACTCATTTCAGCTGCCGAGCAGAACACCTCTGAGGCGTGAGTAGACTCCTCACTAAAGAGAGCACCTGATGATGTTATATATATATACTGACAGGAAAAAGACTCCGTCGACTAAGAAGTACAGTATGTCGTCAAAGAAGGCGCGGTCCACAGCCACTCCTAGTCATTCGAAGGTGCACGCCATAATTATATAGCTAGCTGTCCCTATGCTATATAATGTGTCTCTCTCTCTCTTAGTCTGATGGCTCAGTGGTGTTCAAGTCTTACGACAAGTCCAGTGGAGTATCCCTGAGGAGCAGCAAAGTAGGCTTGTAGCTCTGCACACCACTTCATTCAGTCAGGTCTTCCTCACTTGTCTCTTCATCTCCACAGATGAAGACACCCATGACACTGGGTCAGAAAAAAACCAAAGCCATTGACCAGCTTCTGGACGAGCTTGGAGTTGGTATGTTTATCTATAGAGATCTATATATATACTGTGGCGGTAATAGGTGATCCATCAGGGCTGAAACCAATGCCGACTGAGCAAATCTGTGTCCAGTTCAACGAACTGAGGTGAGCAGGCTCCGTGTCAATTGACAAGATTTAGCAGTTCCATTAGTCATTGACCCACTAGCTTTGATCGTGACCCTCTCCCACTATCTTACCCAACTCCAGAAATGACATCTTATTGCTGCTGGACCTGAAAGCCGCCTGCGATGCCTGTGACTTTGAGCTCCAATCTCTGAAGTAATTATTACACTCACTCTTCCCTTTGACTCCCTCTCCTCTTTCTCCCCCCTCCATAAGACACAGGTACGAGAATCTTTCCGAACACCAGCAGGCAAAGATCTCCATGCCCGAGGCAACCCCAGCCACCCCTAAAAAGGTGAGAGAGCCTATATAGCTCACTCTCTGTGAAAAGTGAGTCCAAATTTCGTTTCTTCTCCGTAGTCTCTTGGCTCAAACATCTTTGTGCTGGACGCAGTTGCCACAGCAACTGGTGGGGTAAGTACAGCAAACTTCCTCTTACATACATACACCTGTTTTTCCCCCCTCGCAATTTTTCCCCAGAGAAAGCGAAGACTCACAATTTCAGAGCCCGGGTTAAAGAAATCGCGAAAGAGTTAGCGAACACATACACACAACATACACAGCTACACCCTCAAATAGTTATTGTCACAGAAAAGTTGGTAAAATTATTTGTGAAATTTTCCAGTATTATACAACGTGTATATACATCAGAGAGATAAGTCAATGACAGAGAACACCCAGGGCTAGCCAATCAAGACAGGCGCTAATCTGTTTTCTGAGCTCTTCTCTTCTGTGACTTGGCCTGCGTGCCTTCTCGGAATCCGTTCCGGAACCGTCTCTGGACCACACGAAGATGCTTCATTCTCCCTGTGCCCGTTGTGTGCCTTCGCTTAGCCTTCACACTCCAATTATCTACAGGGAACACACGTTCTCTTCTACATTCAAACACGCACTCTTTACTTACACTTTCTTCTCTTGGCGGCGGGGTAGGCGCAGCTAGCACACCTCTTCTTCTGAATGTGGAAGGCCTTCCTTCCGCATCGGACGCACAGCGTGTGCGACTTGTTCTGCCGCTTCCCGAAACTTGAGGTTCCCTTTGTCTGCGGACAAGAGCGAGACGCAGAACAAACAAATGATCCTCTTTAGCATCTCTCCGTGGCATACAGGACATCGCTGATCGGCTAAGGGTTGTGAATGAAATGGATACTTTCCACATGTACGACTCACCATTGGGGCGGCTTTATCCGAGAGAGAACCTGGTCACGCATGCGCAAAATGTTCGGTCGTGTTGCTACGGTAACAGTAAAAACAAAATGGCGGCCGCTACGGTCGAATCTTCGATGTCTCTCTCTGAGCCCGAAGAAGGCTGTCTGTTAGTTCGAACTTCACTCGACAAATATCTTTGCTTCGTGTCGACTTCAGACTACCTTCAGTACCTTATCAGTCACGTGAGTTCCCCGTATTGGCGCTGTTTCGCTATCTGCAGTTGGTCTTTGCGCGTGTGTGTGCAGGGAGACTATGGTGCCGGGGCTCGTGTGGAGCCGCGCGGACCTGCAGGCACGCAGCTGCAGTTGAGCAAGGCTGCACCCGTTCAGGATACTCCAGACAAGAGAAAAGAAACGGATCTAAAGACCTTGGTTACTGAGAGTGAAGGTGTCAGCCTCAAAACTGCTGTACTGAGTGGCAAGATCAGTTTGGTCAAAAGTCTGGTCAGGCAGTCCTCTCCCACTACACTGGACTCCACTGACGAACAGGGACTCACTCTTCTTCTGCATGCAGCTCTCACCGGAGCACATGAAATCGCAGCAACACTACTCAAAGTCTGATATACAGTGAAACCTCTGAATAAGGGACTCATTTGGGACACATTTAAAGTGTCCTTTATTCGGCAGTGTCCCTTATTCAGAGATATATATGTATTAGTATAAGACAGAACCAAGTGTCCTTTATAGAGTGGTGCCCTTCATGCAGAGTCCCCTTTTGGAGATTGACTGTAACTTGATGATTTGCTCACTTGTCTCTTTCAACCAGGCCGGAGCATCTCCGGATGTCCCTCACTCTACTTCAGGAGCCACCCCTCTCTCCCTGGCCTGTCTGCAAGGACACAGTGAGGTCACCAAACTTCTCCTCAAACATAGAGCCAACCTCTCTCCCGACGTCCGCGGCTGCTCACCACTCCACGCCGCTGCCTGGGGTGGCTCGGGGAAGATTGTCAAGTCCCTCCTCTCTCACAAACCGTCTCTGGTGGCCGAGAGAGACAGTGATGGGAGGACTCCTCTCCATCTGGCTGCAGCTAAAGTGAGGACTAGCTGAAGATGATGTATTCTCTGTATAAAAACCACGTAGCACATGTGACATAAAGGTTTTGAGCCTTTTACACCCAGTTTCTTCGTTTGTAAGATACATTGCATGTGTTTTGGCTCCTCGCTTCCATATTTCATCATTTACCAGAGTATTTTAGAGTTACTCACAACTTATCAAAAGGAAACTGAGTGTATGTCTCTCTCTGTGTGTGCACAGGGAGATGTGACAGTGTGTCAGCTACTGATGAAGAAAGGAGGCCAGCTGACTGAGACAGACAGCTGCGGTAGAACTCCTCTCCACTGGGCCATTCTCTCACAACAGGTAAAACCAACTATATACTGTGTCGTGGTGGTGAAGTGAACTGCACTCTGATATACCAGCTGCCTAGTGTGGAGCACCTTCTCGCCTCCAGTTCTGGTGCAGGCCTGTTGTGTAATCAACCAGACTCCCAGGGGGCAACCCCTGTTCATTATGCCGCCATGACTGGCCAGTGTAGCTTGCTGACGGCTCTACTGAACAAGGTTTGCTGATGGACTAGCAACTACCATTCACATTTCCCACTTTAAAAAATGTATCATTTTTGGACAGACTGCTACTAATAGAATTGATCAGTGGTGCCATCACAAATTTGTGTTTCTCAATGCTAATTATCCCAGGGTGCCAGTGCAGATGTCACAGATGCCAGAGGCTACTCTCCACTCTTTTGGGCCTGTGCATGTGGCCACGTGGACGCTGCCAGGCAATTAATCAAGCTAACAACTAGGAGCACCCCCAATAAAGAGGCCAGCCAAGCCGAGTGTGAGCAGGGAACAGTGGAAGAGGAAGATATCCGGGCAGATGAGGGTGGTCGGTGTCTCCGCGTGGCCTGTGCTGTTGGATCAATAGACGTCTCCCAGCTCCTCCTACAGACCTCTCCCTCTGTGAGATCACATGACCACTACTCTCAGTCATGTGACTGTCACATGATGCCAATAGCTGGTGAGTGAGAGGGACGAGGAAGGGAGGACGGCTCTGCACACTGCCAGCCACCACGGCCACACCAACTGTCTGGATGAGCTGATAAAGGCAGGGGCCTCCCCCAATATTGCCACGTTCACTGACAAGAGGTATATATACTTTATATAGATCAGTGATTGTGATGAATATTCTCAAATTTGCAAAAAAAACTTGGGTTTGTGAAGCAAAGTTCCAGTTTATAATTGTGGGGATTTTAGCTATTGTGATTTTGAACGAAAAGCTTGAAATTTCACTCTCCCTGTTTCTTCATCTTTGTATTCCAGGACAAGTCTCCATGTGGCCAGTGAGAGAGGCCAGTGTGAAGCTGTGGCCCGTCTCCTAGCTGCTGGGGCCAACCTCAACCGCTCCACCCACCCTCACGGAGAGAGGTATACACATGCTGTACTATATAGAGCACCTAATGTTTGATGAGCTAATATTCAAGGCACTACATCAGTGGATAAGTCTCATTCCATGAAAAATATGCTCAACAAAAATGACCTGTGGAATCAGGGGCTGTTTGAATGCAAGGGAAATGAGTATCAAGCAATTCTAGGACACACTTTTGATGCATGGGTAGATGAAATCCCTAGGTAACAAAATTGTCTCTCTCACTCTCAGACCCATCCATCTAGCGGCTCAAAGAGGACACTCCTCTATTATCATTGAACTATTGAGGTAAGACAACTGGACCAGTAAAGAGATCTTGCAACTGTCAAATGATATTGATGTTAGGAGGGGGTGTGTTCCTGACATTGACAGGGCTAAAGATGGTCAAACAGCTCTAATGCTAGCAGCGGATGCTGGTCACATGCAGTGCTGTAGATTGCTCATAGAGGCAGGGGCTGACCCCTCACTCACAGAGACAGCAGCCCAGAGGTATATATAGTGAAATCTCTGAATTTAATGTTAATTTCCCTGACTTTTGTTATGCTATAGTCGCACAGCACTGGACTTGGCAATGGCTGGGGGACACAGAGAGGTTGCTGATTACCTCATCAGTGTGGGGGCCCCCTCACGAGGGGGGAAATTCCATCGAGCGGCCGTCACAATTCAGGCTGTCTGGAGACTACACAGACACAGAGTAAAGACAAAAGTTGATGCAAGTCCATGACCCGCAGAATAAATCTCTCCTTATGAAGCTGGCTATAGAAGTCCCTGTACACTAATGTACTACACTCCTAATGAAAAAGCCAAAACAGCCAATTCAGTGCTGATTTTTTATGCATGTTTTATTTAATCATGCGTAAGCTGTGCACTGTACCTGGACAACAATCTGGTTAATGCGATGGCTATGGACTCAGTGCTGTATGATTGTGTGTTCTAGAGGAGAGAGAGGTCGAGAAGAGAGTGGAGTGCGGCAGTGATCCAGAGAGGGGTGAGGAGGTGGAGGAGGAGAAGGAGGGCGGGGAGAGTGAGGGAGAGGAGAGAGAGGGCCAGGTACAGAGCTGCAGCCGTCATCCAGAGCCACTGGCGACAGTACATGGAGGGAAGGAGACGATACGAGGCTACTTGTGCCCGCCTCAGAGCAAGGCTACACCAGTGAGCCAGTACAGCCTCTCTGAAATAAACCACTCCTTTGGTTCTGCCCCCATACTAATACATTATTACCTATGAATAAGGGATTCCTCTGAATCAGGTGCCCTATTCACTGTAGCTGTGTGCGTCAGACAAAGATTGGTTCTTCTGTTCTCCACAGAGAGCATCTGGCAGCAAGTTCCTGTTGGACGAACTGCAGGCACAGTCTCAGAGCATTCGCCTTCCTTCTGCCGTCTCCCCACGGGCTCCCACACGATCCCCACACAAGTTAGTCACACCACACTTTAGAGAAAAATGTCTAAGTGAAAAAGAGATATACCGAACCCTCTGAATAAGGAACTCTTTTGGGGCATCGAAAGTGTCCTTCACTTAGAGATTCAACATACACTGGTACCTGTAGAGAGGTGTCCTTTATTATAAAGTTACAATTGCAAGAATGCAATTAAGTTTCCATTTTTATCTAAATTTAGCCATTACTTACATCCATATACACCTTTAATAATTGCTTTGTGTGTGTGTGCTTTCAGAGCCTCAGCTACTCCAGGCTACCTGCTACAAGCATCTGCTCCCCTCCCCACTTCTCGGATCACTTCTGCAGATCTCTTCTTCCCCACCCACCACCGAAAGTCCATCTCCGTTCCAGTCGTGAGGCCTCGTAAACCCCTCACCCACTCCCCTCGTCACAATCTCCCTCCACCACCCTCACAAACTCCTCCTTCACACCCTCCCCAGCCTCTAGTAAGTGACAAATTCAAGCTACTATATAGTCCACCAGAGACACCTTTTGGGGTATCAACGTTTATTCAGAGGTGACATCCACTGAAGTGGGGCAGCAGAGGGTGTCCCTTATTTGGAGGGCTGTAGTTTCACTGTACAACTGTACTCTCTCCCTGCAGAAATCGCCTGCGATGGAGAACACACGAGAAGGAACTGGACTCCCCAACATATCACCACGACAGCCTCCGGTGAATAGTTCTACTGGTAGACAAACTGTGGTTGTGAGAAGAGGAAGAAAACTCGGTGGTTCACAGAAGAAAGAAGTGGGTACTAGGACGAGCAAGTCAGTCAGTGAAAGAGCTGGTGACAGTCTGCCTGTCATCCCAGTAGCTAGCAGCGGTTTGAGAACACAACCATCAGGTGGTGGAGAAGAGACAGACAAGGGGGTTTGTAATGGGAGTGCTGTTGAAGAACTCCCTCCTCTGCCTGCAACACCATCACTGGTATCTCCACCACTCTCCCTCATTTCACCACCCTCACACATTTCACCTCTTCCTCCAACTTCGCTCGTTCCACCGTCACCTCTTCAACACACCTCACCTCCTCAACACACACCGTCGCCTACAGAGCCAGTTCGACAAATCGAGACACTGTCACACAAAGCAGAGAGACCTACAACTCCCTCACTTTCTCGAGAGAATGAGATTGATATTCAAGAGACTCTGTTGAAAGTTAAGTTTGAGACCAAGAACGAGAGCCAACTTGATAAGAAAGAGGAGGAGACTCATAACAAAGAGGAGGAGGAGGAGAAAGTGTCTGAGAAGCCAGAAGGATCTCGGAATGGAGCTGAATCTCGCCGCTACCTGAAGCAGACTATGTTCAGAGCTGCTATTGTTGGTCAACAGCAGCAGCAGAGTGTTGGGGGAGAGTGTGCGGAGGAAGATACCACACTTGACAACAGACTACTGGGGCCGATTCAGAGGTACGATCGACTGAACACGGTGCTTGCTCTCCTGAAGAGGGTCCAGGGAGGGGAGATGGAGGGGGAGGAGGAGGGGCTGCGTCTGACGGACCTCCGACAGCACATACAGTCTGCTCTGGACGAGGCAGTCAGACTCAGAGCTGACACCGAGTCACTCCAACACTCTGCCAAGGTACGTGTGTATATATGTGGTGATATGATAGTGTAGCCCCTTAATCTGTACATCAATAATTGGGGCAGAAGAAAGTGGCCAATGCAAGAACCATTCTTGGGGAAAGGAAAGGTGCTCTTATTACACAGGTGTCCTTATTTTTTCCAGATGAAACTACCGCGAAAACCTGCTGATTCAGTTCACTGAAACAAACAACTCGATCTTTAGCTTATCCTGTTAATTCTTTTGATATGAAACTTATGTGAGATGATAAAAACACAGAAAGAAGTGATCATAGTTTGATTTTGATGCTGTGTCTGTGAAGAGCGATAGAGATGAAGACCAGGACACACATGTAGCCCACTAGAACAGCCAGAGCCAGTGGCCGACTGGTGTGGAGGGTGTCCAGCGAGAAATTGACTAGTCCAGTCAAGATATTGGCGAGGAGGAAGAACGAGAGTTGGTTGTAGTCAATGGCAGACACCACGCAGAGAAGAGAGGTGGTGTGTTTGTTGCTGGCGGTGGTGTAGAGAGGGAGAAGGGAGGGAGGAAGAGGGAACGGTGTGCCACAACTTCAGAAGAAGTAGGTCAGTGAACAAGAACAGCAGGAGAAATAGGAAAACCTGTGAAAACTGGGCGAAAATCATCAACCGTTACCCGTGCTCTAAAATGTACATGATTTCCATACCAGCCAGAGGATGAAGGGAAGATTGGCCATTCTGCGAGACACTGGCTGCACATACACCTCACACACAGAGGTCAGAGTCCACAATAAGACCACGCCCACTCCAAGGAACAGAGCAACGTGGTAAAACTTGGAAACAGTTTTTCTCTTCTTGAAGAGCCACTGCCCCAGTTGTATACCAGCCATATACACTGCCAGATAACCGATACTTGAGACCACACCCTCCCTGTTGGCACTGAGTAGTCCCGTTCTGGAACCGTCTCGGGACGGGCCCAGCAGTACGTACTCGGTCCCTCCAGCCAGTGAGAGGAACAGTTGATGGAGGAAAGCGAGGAGGAGGGACAAGGTGGCATAGGGGAAGAGAAGAGGGAGGAAGGAGAGGAGGGGGAGGATAGCTGTACATAATACCTGAGAGGGACGGAGATAAATTGTTGTAAATGACGAGTATTAGTACATTACAACTATTGGTTAAGCTACAAAAAGAAAGTAGGAGCAAAAACATGTTTTAGCTCACCCTGATAAAGGCAATGGTGAAGAAGAAGTTCCAATGAACTCCGTACTCTGTCACATGTTCCTGGTAACCAGTCAGCTTCACACTGGCCAGTCGGACACACCCCAGCACAATCAGAGGTAGGACTCTCCTCACTGTCCCTATCACTCTCCATATGTAGCCTCTAGTGAGAGAAATCGAGGCAGAAATTCGATTTGAGATTTGAACAAACAGCAGTCGCTATAGGCCTTCCCAATATAATTATAGAGACACACACCTAGTGTTAGAGAGCCCACGAGCCTCAGGAGCTGTCAGCCCGTGCGCCACCACAAACAATCCCACCCCAATATCCATCAGACCCGTCCCATACGTCTCAGTCTTGGCGAAACGGCGAGGGAAAATGGTAAAGTCGACCGCTAAGATTGCTATCGCTGTGAACAAGTTGGTGTAGGTGCGCATGGCTGTGATGAACGGTAGTTTCGCGAGAGGGTACGTAACGCTCCCCACACATCCCGGCTTCCCTGGTGTGCTCCATATAGAGAAAACTGCTAGTGCACCAACGAGGCCAATAGAGAGGAGACAGAAGTGAAAGGCGTGGTCTGCGAGTACGGTGAAGAGCAGTATTCCAGGGAGAACGAGGACTGAGAAGTCGAGGAAAAAGGCTAGTCTGGGGAGAAATAGGCACTAACACACTTCAGGAGACGATAGCAACAGTTCCTCACAGTATAGACCCCCGGGTAGCGAGTGATAACCGTGGGAAGACGACCAGGAGTACGTTCCTCAGTGTGTAGCAAGCCACGACACTCACCAGTACCGCAGCGATCTCCCAGGCAGTTGTACCTTCATGCCCGCTGACAAACGTTTCCTTCGCTGCGTTCATATTCTATTTGGAGTGCACCAACAAAATCGTCGCGCATGCGCATGTACAAAACGCATGCGCAAAGTATCACGTCCGTCTCTGTTGTTTCTGGAGCGAGTAAGGCGCAGCGGCTTCCTTTACATCAGTCTTCATAGCACTGGGGGCCTTCCCTCCTGCTCCTACTCCCAAAGGATGACGAGTTCCACGCCCGCCCTTTAGAACTTCAATCCGTTTCGTAGTTAGAGGAGTTAGCCCAGTGCCGTGGAGATAAGCAGCAGCTAGCTTCCGGGTTTCTGCCAATGATGTCGTTTGCATCCCACCTGAAACCAGGACATTGAAATCAGGACACCGGCTAAAATCAGGACACCGGCTAAAATCAGGACAGCACCAAAATCAATCGGGACACCTCCCCTTCTCGAGCACCTGCTTTAGATTTTTGGACCTCCATCTCGTCGCGTGCCTCAGACACAATCTTCTGGCAAGAGGAAATGATGGTGTTGTAGGCAGATATCTCCTCCTTCAGCCCAGCTTCCTTCCCTCTTGCCTCCTCTAGCAGCGCCCTCTGCTTGGCCTCCAGGTCGAGGTCCAGCTTAGTCCGCAAGTAGTTGGGCACTGGAAGAATGAATAGTCGTCAATCAAATTAAGCTTCACGGGTACCTTGGGGGTTATTTGCACTGCAGTCTCCAGCTATTTCTAAGGTATTGAGAATGGTTTGTCGGCCTGCCTTACCCTTAACATAGTCACTAAAAATACAATAAGGACAGTGAGATCGAGGTTTCAATTAGGATAGGGACGGCAAGATAGAGGCACAGTGGTAGTCTCCTCTCTACGGTGACAATCAAACTCACCTATTTCATGGTGTAGCATCGATACTCGGCTCTCTGTCGCTCTCTGTGGACATACGTAGTAGGTAACATGTGAGACTCTGTGAGTGTGTGTGGTGGCTGACTTCCAGTTCAGGGTCCCGTTCCGAGGACACCTGGAGTGGAATGACGACGCGATTGGAGAGGGGTGGGGTCTTGTCCGAGGTGAGCTGTTTGAGAAGTGTGGAGAAATGGCCGACTGTGGCAGAGAAACTGTCCAGAACACTCGGCCTGTGGAACAGACACTCTTCACACACTCACACAACACGAGTCAAGTGACGTAGGCTACTGACCACGTGAGCGGCTCGTGCTCCATCTTGCCAACGAAAGAGGAGAGCGAGCCTTTTATGCCCTGTACCTTGTTCTGCAGCGCTAGAACAGCCGCGTCCACCTCGCGGTCCTGGAGAAAAGTGGGTAACACTGTAGTGATCTGACTAGAGTGCTCTCACGTACTTCCTTCGACTTGCCAGGGGCTGGATCGCTCATTTTCCCCGCTTATCTTGTTAGTGCGCACCATAACGCGCGGAGGTCCGTAAACTCGGAGTATACGGTAATTTCCATGGAGACGTACAACACCCACACACACACACAACATCAGCTGGGGTTGCGTGGCTTTCGACCTCCATTCTCTTCTGTTGGCAGAAAGATTCAGGCATGGGGGACAAGAAGTACGCTGGTGCTCCCTTTGGCACGCAAACGGCAAGGTGCGTATAATAATACGTCGCGAAAAACTAGAAAGAGGGTGGGGCTGGTACCCGCGTGCCGTCTCTCTCTGCTGCAGGTTCGACGTTTCTGGAGTGCATCCGCAGAACAAGATGCCAGGCACCTACACAGAGGTTCCCTACTGCAAGAAAGCCACCTCTAAAGAAGTCAGTTCAACCAGAACCTTCAACAAACACACGATATATAAATTTCACTGCAGAATCGACTGCTGGGGCCCGGTACGTACTGCTTCGACACTGGCGACTTCAGCGAGCGAGCAGTGTGGGGTAAGGCGAGAGGTCCCAACTGGGAATGGGCCTTCCAGCTGGCGCGGCTCTCGGCGATACCTCACGCGCTCTTCCGTAGAGAGTGGGAGCAGAGGAAGCACGTGAGTCGACTTCTTATCTCGACGGTGTGCGTGTGTGCATGTGTGTTCTTGTGATGCCTCTAGCGAGCCGAGCAGCTGGGCCCTGGGAGGTACAGCAGTGGAGGATTCGTGGAGGAACTCTCGGGAAAACCAGGCAGCAACCGCGGGGTTTGTCAGTCCAGAGGTTCCCGCTTTCCCCCGGAAAACAAAGTACTACCTTTCAGTGTTTTGGAGGTGCTACACTAGCTAGCTATGTTCTTGATCTAGTTCCACAGCAAGTTGCCAGGGCCAGGGAGCTACGGGGAGGGAGGTGTACCGTGGGCTGCAATGGAGAAGAAGGCCCAGCTATCGCAGGGGACGTTTGGCATGCTAGAGGCAGGTGAGCAGGAGATCCGTCGAGCCATCACTGTGGGGTCGGATCTGGCCCCGGGTCAGTACCGCCACACTGCACCCCTCGAGGAACTACTGAACAAGAAGACAAGTACTCGTGGGCCTTACGACCTGTACTCAGGAGAGCGGTACCAGGTGCCGAAATCACAGGTACACTATACGCTTACAAAATGGAGTAGAGTTTAGCCTGAGACCATTTCTTCCTCAATAGATCCAGAACCGGCACTTGGGACCTGGACGGTACAACCTACGACCTTTCACAGCTGATCTCAGTGGTAATACACACACACACCACATTCACCCTCTTAAACTGATGAACATACACACACACACGTGTCCTACACGCTGCCCCAGATACGCACCACGGGAAACACGGAGAGTTTGGAAATCTTGACCAGTACGCTGCACTGCCCACTGAGAGGATCTACTGCAGCACACTCAGCCAGTGGCCTCGCAGAAAGGTATATATACAGTATACACACAGTCACACTCTAACAATGTGTGTGTGTTCTCTTTCCACTTCTTGCCCCACCAATGTGCTGTATTATTGCTAGTCCTTGAAATTAGTTTGCCAAATTTTTTTAGCCGTTTCATGTTACGTGCAATGACTGCCAAATATTACCCATGGTGGCCTGTTTGAGGCAAAATACAAATAATATATTTTGCGTGGTGTGTTTTTGCAGGAAGATCCAGGCGCATGTGTATGGGTAACACTATCTCTCTCTACTTTTCCGTGGGTTTCGGGTTCTGGTGTGAGAGAGATAGGGTACCTGCCCGGGCCTGAGACTTCCTGCAAAAACACACCACGCAAAATATTATTATTTGCTATTTTTGCCGTGCAAACGAGCCACTTTTTGTGCCCTAGATTCACAGAATGTTAAAGGTTGATTTGGCAGGTGCAGGATTGCACACTTAATATGATGAAAATTGTGACTATATGAAAAAAGTTGGCAAAACTAACTTTCAGCTGGTACTAGATAGAGAATCCCAAGTAACAGCACTTTGGTGGGGCAAGAAGTGGAAAGAGGGGTAACACAACAACAATTGCTATCCAAGAGTTTGTTGCTTCTGATCGCCTGTATCTTTTATTATAGTTTATACCTCTTCTTACTGAGGTCATTGGTACTGTGTAGTGTGTAGGCTGCTTTCAAGTAGATCCTCTCAGATGTGTGTGAGTGCAGATGGCTATGCCTGTGATGGATGTTCAAGATTTCTCCAATATCTACTCCGAGTGTGTTTGCCCGTGATTGTGTGTATCCTGGAGTGTTAAGATAACAGGTGGTCCACGCAGTGTCGTGTAGGATGCGTTGTGTGTGTGTGTTGTTCATCAGTTTGACGAGGTTCGCTCGTTAGATGTAGGTTGCGCTTGTGTTGGATGTACTTGATACGCTCAGTGGAGAGATCAGCTTGTGACATGCGATCATAAGTGCTTTTGGTGATCGTCGCAGTCTCAGAGTTGCGCTGGTCTGCGATCTGAACTTCGATAGAAGATAATAGCGTCTCAGGCTTGATAAACTTGCTTATCGTGCGATTTGTATAAGTGCGGTTAGTGAGAGGATGTCCGAGGGAGACTGCGCTTGTATTGATAATTGATCACTCGTGGCTCTCTCGTAAGTAATGGGTGTATCCTGTGTTCTTACTGAGCATCCAGTGTCTGTAGAGTGCGGGTAAAAAGGTACCTTGTGTTCGTGTCGTGTGTTCTCAGCTGTGTGAGGTTCGCTTGTCAGCAGGTTTGGGCAGTGTTTGCTCAGTAGATTTGAAGTTAGCCGATAACCAAAGTGTGTAGTGCTAGGAACACGACGGGAGCCAGATAGGTTTCGACGCCCCCACGAGCCTTGTGGCTAGAACAGCGATCTCTGAGCCTCATCATCGGCTCTCTAGTGCCTGTGTGATTCCAATAACTGTTCCTGCAAGATCCCATGAGATTGGTCTGTGTCCTTCTTCTCCCATTGGCAGGTCTCACTCATTTAAGATACACCTCCTCTCCCTCCGTTGCGTCTCGCTGTGCCTTCTGACATGGCCGAACTTGCTTGATGTGACTATGGGTTCTTAAGAATTGATATTAATTTAGTAGTCTCTAGTTGCACGCCTCCAAGAAAAGCTTGGAAGGTGTTAAGGTGCTTGCTGTAACTTTTTGTTTTTCCGGAGCGTGGAACATCTAGTCTGAGGGACATGCTCCTTGGATTTAGCACCATCCTCTCTGCGCTAGAGTATGGTGACAACCTGGGTATTGTTCGACTCAAAGATGAAATCGCGTATTGCTTGTCTTTTCGTGCTGTTTATTAAGTGCGCCGTCGTACATGTCAAATTGCAGAGTTGTGTTGATTACCCTGCTCGCATGTGTGCCCAGCTGCTCGGGGCTCTGCAAGATGGGAAGACTCAGTCCCCGCAAGATACAGAACCTGCTGGCGACATAGCTTACGCGGCTCCGATAGTATAAGAAGTCAGAGTGCAGATGCTTCCTGTGGCGGCCAAGAGTGTATTGCTCCACGTCTCTACCGGGGAGAAGAGCGGCGTGATAGATGGAGCTGCCGGTTATCTGCTCGGACGTGGTTCGCGCGTCGCCACGCTAGAAAGGCGCGATGACATGATGCTAAGCTGTCCTCCGCTGTAGTTGAAGAGAGACCTCATAATCGCCGTATACCCCACCACTGCTCGCTTGCTTCTCGCTGCTTGGACGTTGTCCGACCTGCAGGGTGAGGCCTCACGAAAGGCTTTAGGTAACGCTCCCTCGTGCTACGCCAGCGATTGTTGTCGGATATTTAAATGCAGTTGTCTCTGATGCTTATGGTAACTCCCAGTGTGGTCTGTCGTTGTAGGCTATATGTGTGTTGCATATGGTTGAGTATAGATTTACGATGTTTGAATATTGTTACTGTCTTTAGAGTTGTGCTTTGTTTCCCTGTTTTGGCTGTTCAGGAGTGGATACCTGCTCCTTTATTGGTAGGCTTGCTTGTTAGTACGCGGCGAATCACGGCCTACTTGTATAAGATACAATGTAAGCCTCTAGCAGGGTATAATGACCACTCCTCTCTCAGCCGGCAAATACGTGCGGAACTGCAGCAGAGAGAGGACGGCACGCGGGTACCAGCCCCCACCCTCTTTCTAGTTTTTCGCGACAGTTATTATTATCGCAGCCTTGCCATTTGCGTGCCCAAGGGAGCACCAGCGTACTTTCTTTGTGCCTCCCATTGCCTGGAATCTTTTCTTGCTTACAGAAGGAATGGAGGTCGAAAGCCACGTGCAAACCCCAGCGTGTGTGTGTAGTGGGGTGTTGTACGTCTCCACTGGAAATTTACCCGTACACTCCGAAGTTTTACGGACTCCCGCGCGTATATATGGGTTGCGCACTACCAAGATAAGCGGGAAAATGAGCGTCCAGCCCCTGGCAGTCGAAGGAAGTACGTGAGAGCACTCTAGTCCGATTCACGTACAGTGTTACCACTATTTCTCCAGCGACCGCAGGCTGGACGGGCGTTCTAGCGCTGCAGAAACCAGGTACAGGCATAAAAGGGCTCGCTCTCCTCTTTCGTTAATGTGAGCACGAGCCGCTCACGTGGTCCAGTAGCCTACGTCACTTGACTCTGTTGGTGAGTGGTGTTGAAGAGTGTCTGTTCCACAGGCCAGAGTGTTCTGGGACAGTTTTTCTGCCACATCGTTGTCCATTTCCTACACATTCTCTTGTATTTCGGACAAGGTACCCCACCCTCATCTCCAATCGTACGCGATTCCATCTCCATGTGTTCTCTCGGAACGGGACCCTGAAACTAGGTTAATTGTCAGCCACCACCAACACTCACAAGTCTACATGTACTACAATAACGTATGTCTCACAGAGAGCGACAGAGAGACGGAGTATCGATGCACACCATTTAGAAAATGGGATGCATCACCGATGAGGGTATGACTTGTGCTTTTATCTTATGTTCTATATATTATTTGTTAAGTGGTATTTTGTGACATATAAGGTAAGGCGGCTGTATTATACCCTATATAATAGTTGGAGAGTACACTAACTCCTCTATATGGTGGTAGCGTGATTGGACTCATCGGGCCGCGACAGCTGTTCCCCTCAGTGGCGGAGGTGATAAGTTTCGGAGCGTCTTTACCTGGAGGCCAAGGCAGGAGGGCGCTGTAGAGGACTCCAACGCCCCCGTCCCCTCTGGGAAGGGGTGTGCGGAAAAGGAGGAATATTGATGGGCGTTACAACACCATCATCTCCTCTTGCCAGAGATATTGTGTCTGAGGCACGCGACGAGAATGGAGGTCCAAAAATCTAAGCAGTGTGCTCAAGAAGGGAGGTGTCTGATTGATTTTGGTGCTGTCCTGATTTCAATGTGTCCTTGGTTTCAGGTGGAATGGCAAACGACATCATGGCAGAAACACGGAGCTAGCTGCTGCTGATCTCAACGGCACTGGGCTAACTCCGTCTTAACTACGAAACGGATTGAAGTTCTTAAAGGAGCGGGCGTGGAACTACGTGCATCCTTTGGAGTAGGAGGCAGGAGGGAA